AAGTGTCGGAAAGAAGTGTCGGAATTATTGACTATAATTTTTTTGCATAGACGTTCGTGCGCAAGGAGTCGAAGCGTGTTACACCTTTGAAGTTGAGTAATACAAGGGCAACGATCTTAATATTAACAGATATGTAACACAGAGTCACGTTACTGCAACAATTACCCACAGCCTCCTGGGGTAGTTCTCCTGGGGTAGTTCGCGCCTGGGGTAGTAATCATTAGTCATATCATGTTCTACTCGATACTATACTCGCTATACGTGTTCGTCGAACGTCATGGATGCTGCTCACATGCAAAGCGAGTTGGATCGAGCTAACAAGAAACTGGATAGGCTAGAGGCGTTGAGACTTGGTACAGAGGAAAGGTACGACCAGGAGAAAGATACGCTGGAGAAGCAGGAAACTTACTGGTTAGAAGAAAGAAAAAAATGGGGTGATGCTTTGCTTGCATTACGCGCACAGATAAATAGCGATATTACGACTCAAACACAGGGTACGTAGAGTACAGTGTATATCGATGTAGGGTATGATTTTACAAAATCATTAAGATAATGTTACAGTATTCAGAGGAGACTTGTTTATTATTGTGTTTCCTTATTATCTCCAATAGCAAACGGGCAAAGTTGTTTCCATCGCGTCTATCCGGGAACATTTGGTGCCTTATTCGAGAACCTAACTGACCGGTGCTTTTCTCTTGCTTTCCATTCGGTCGATACACTAGAAACGAAGGCAGCAACCATTTCGAAAACAAAGGTCAATGAATTGCCGAAATCTAGTACTGCTGACGACCAACAAGTGAAACAGATGCCCGACTACAAAGCGATGACGAAAACTGAATTAACGGTAAGAGATGATTATTGTATACTATATGAGATTATCAAGCATCACTTTGATGTCTCCGTATTCGTTAACCGGCACAGAAAATGTTGTCAAAGTACGGAGTAAAGCCGGGAAAGCGGGAAGACATGATTAATATGCTCACAAACATCTGGTATTCGTTAGCGAAGTATGTGGAATGTATTTTTTTCATGGTCGATTATTATTGTGCGACTAAACGATTTCACG